AGACTGATAGTTCTTTTTTAAAAATAGCTTAAAGATTATAAACTTTAGATATAAATATTGCAAGAACTACTGGTCCAAACTTAATTATTTTACTACTAGTAGAACCAAAAAGACCTAATTAACAACTTTAATTAATACCAAAAAGAAGGTTTACTTAATAATAATATCTCTTTTAGAGCACTTTTATGCATTTTGGGAGGTGGCATTAGCAAAAATGGAAGGTAAAAATAGCAATTCTCTATATTTAACGAATAAATTCTAAAATATTTAATATACTTTGAAATACTTTAATAAATTTCAAAATAATTCAAATTAATTCAAAAATATTTGAAATTATTTGAAGTAATGTGAAAATATTCGAAATATATTAAATATTATAAAATTATTCCAAAGTATTTAGATTTTTATTATATTTAATTATAAAAATTTAAAGTTAGAATTGCAAATAAAACTGATTATATTTATTAAAAGTAAATGATAAAGATACAAAAAAAAAAAACAGAAAATCTAAAATATAATATATAAAAATATCAAATAAAAAATTAAAAAAATAAAATATAAAAATTTTAATTTTTTGAAGATCCTTCTTGTGGATCTTCAATTTCTTTTAAAGATATTATGTCTTCTATCATAGGCTTCATCCTTAATTGAGACAATGTTCTAGCTGGTAGCTTTGCACTTAATTGTGATAAAGTTCTAGCTGAAGGCTTAGTACTAGCCTGAGGCTCTGTTCTAGTCTGAAACTCAGAAACTGTTTGAGTCCCAGTTGGAGTTGTAGTAGTGGTCAGAGTTTTTGAAGAAGTTTGTATAGATCTAACTTTTTTAGAAATCTAAATAAAAAGTAATAATAAAGAAAAAATAAAATAATAATAAAGTTTTTATAAGAATAAAAATTGAAAATAATTATATAAGTTATTAATATTATAATTACTCTTTTAAAAGTTTGCAGAGGAGTTTGCATTCTTCTTTTATCTGCTAACTGTAATTAAATTAATAAAAGATATTCTAATTATAAATTAAATAATTAATATTTACTTTGCTAACTTCTTCTTTATCTTCACTTGATATTGCATCATTATCAAAAGGTGGTGCAAAACCTAGATTCTTCTCTAACTGATTCTTTAATTTATTTATTTTATAGAAATTATTTAAATGATTAAAAAATTTTAAATAAATTTAAAAAATATTAAGACCATTCAAATATTTGCACATAATTGCACAACTATTTGAAATATTTTAAAGTTATTTAAAACTTATAGAAATATTAATTCTTATAGAATATCTTACTAGGTTTTTCTTTAGCTAATTTTTAACAATGTCTTCAGACATTATTAATCATTTATAATGTGAACTTAACATTATTTGACATATGCTTATAGCATATGCAACTTTATTATTAGATGGTAATTCTGAAGGCTAAATCTTAGATAAAATTTTTGCATATATATATCTGAATTTGAGTCATGAATATTAATTTTATCAAAAAGCTTTCTATAACATTGTCTAGTTTTTGTAGAAGCTTTTCAAATAGCAACTTTTTAAAAAGGCACATTCGTATTAATCGAATCTAACTGGCTTTCATCATATACTACAGACATTGCATCTTTATTATGACTAGTTAGGCCACTTTGCACAGATCTGTGCTGTTTCAAAAGCTAAATTTATTATATCATAATAAAAATATATTTAGTTTTCAAAATTTTTAAATCATTTCAAATTTTTTAAAATACTTTTTCTAATTTTTTTTTTTTTTTTTTAACCTTAAGCAATTACACTAGTACTTTATTAAGATTCTTGAAACTATATACATTTATAATTACATAGAATTCCCCAATATCTAAGTCTAGCATTACTCAGCCACCCTATTGGTACCTAAGTGCAACCTGCCACACTATCTCAGTTAGAGATAGACTGCTCATTTAACTACTTAAAGCCATACCAGAAGGGTCTTCTTCCTTCTGTAACAAGCATATCAATTGTCTTCCAAGCTTCCTTTTTCATTCTATTTATTTTTTCTTTCTTCTTTTTCTTTTTTTTTTCTTTGTCAACTTATCTTTTTTTGTTCTTTTTCTTAGCTTTCTTTTGATTCAAGTGCCTTTTTCATTTTGCTTGTTATGTTTATCTTCTTTTCCTATTCTTGCACTTCTCCACACCAAACTCTTCATACTTGGTCATAGAATGTATTTTATACTGTTCTTATTATTATTTCTATGCATCTTTGCATTGCCTGTTTGTTAAGAATTTGACTGATCCTTTTTTCCACCTTCTTTGTAATTAGTCCTTTTATCAGTGCTCTTCTATTAATGATTTCTTCTGCTTCTGTTTTTCCAAATGTTGCTTCATATAGCACTCGAGATGAAATTCTAATTTTTTCATTTTCTTTGAGACTATTCCATGCTGTTGCTATTGCTATTTTTTGAATTCTTTTCTACAGGCTTCTTTGTTTACTACAGCTTGCCAAATGAGTCTGAGTTTCCTTTTTACCTGTTTGACATACTTGGCAATCTGTTGTTATATATATTTTTGATCTTCTTCTATTTAGTTCTTCTAGTGTTGGCAAATCATTTATTATACATTTGATCACTATTGCCCTTCTTGTGCTAAGTTTTTTTGTTATGCAGTGTATGCCTTTTGTTCTGTTTATCTCTTTCCAAAAACTTGACCAATTATATTAAGTACTTTCTGTTTCTAGTTCTAATGCTCGAATCAGATTTGTTTCTCTTCAACTGGCTTCAACTCTGATGTTTGCAATTATTTTGCAAAGAAGTCTTGTTGGTATATCAACTTTTTTGTTTTCCTATTCTAAATAGTACTTTATTCTATTACACTTAATTTTCTCTATAGGTATCACCATTTTATATATTGCTTCTTTCTTTGCAAATGCATCTGCTCTGTCATTTCACTTATCATTGCTATGACTTTTAACTTTAACTAGTTCGATTCTGTTACTTTTGCTTTTGATTAAGTTCACAATATTTATTATCCATATTGCATTTTTCTTTTTAAAAACTTTGTCATCCTCTAACTCTCAAATTGCTCTATTAATGTTCCTTAATGCTGCCAGACTATCTGTATATACTTCTATGTTCTTCCCTTCTGAAACGGTTAAGATAGCTGCCCATATTGCTGCAAATTCTGCTGTTGTTACTGAAGGCTAGCCTTTAAGTCCTAATGTTATTTCTTCTTCTGGTCAGTTTCCTTTATTACTGATCTGTACCCAGCCAATGCTCATTTTTTCTGTACTGTTTTCTCTTTTCTCTTTATATAATGCTCTATCTGTATAAAATATATACTTGTCTTTGTTTCTTATCTTGTTTCTTGTTAGAACTTCTATTAAATATGTTGTGATTTTATTATCTAATTCTTGTTTTTTGATTAATTCTATCTCATATTCTTCTACTTGTTTTAGTCCAATTAGACTTCTTTCCTCTTTCTTCCATTCCTTCATTGGTCTGTTTACTAGTATCTGTTTTATCATTGCATTAATCTTGTTACTGCCTTTTTCTACTAGTGTTTCAGAAATTGCTTTTATACTATTGTTTCATCTTATCTATTTTTCGCAATTTTTTGTTGATTGTTCTGTTTTGTTTTCAGACCTTTTGCATTTGCTTGTCTCTGTATATGTCTTTCCTTTTACCTTTCACAACAGCCAATGTTTAGCTAAAATCTTTTTTTTTTCTTTTTTAATATTTTGCTAAGTTGTTGTTTATGTTTTGGCCCATGTATGATCTACTTTTTCTTTCTTTTGTCTTCAGATATCTTTGTCCAATTAATCGTTAGCGCCTGAGTATTGTAGCCATTGTTCTTGTATTAATCATGTATTTCTTTGCTTATTTGTGTTATTAATATTTTTTCTTCTATTTTATTGAACTATTTGGCTTTTTTCTCTTTATACAACAACTCTAGAAGACTTTTAAGTTGTTTCCATGTGATTAAGCTTTCATCTTTCATATCTATGAGCTGGTTCAAATACAGTAAGCCCTATTCATTTATTGTACTGCTGCTTGCTGTCCAAGATTTGGTTTTAACTAAGTCTCTTATTCTTATCCCATGACTGTAAACTTTTCACAAATAGCTTTTTGTTCTGATGCCTATTTCTATTTCTTTTGACTTGATTATTGTTTAACAAGCCAAATTGTGTTTCCAATATTTTGCTTCTTCTGGTCTTGCTTTAGACTCCCAAATTTCTTTTACTAGGCCAGCTTTCTGGCATCTTTGTACTATTCTAAGCTTTGTTAAATTACCCAAATAGTCTTTCCTATTAAGTCTTGTGAGCAAACTACTTATTTGCTTTGTTGCTATTTCTTGACTTAATGATTTACAGTTTCCCAAATCTTTGTACTCAATTGTGCAGTTGTTTGTAGTTTTCATCATGTTGCATTTATGTTTGGCCAAACATTTTATTGGTTGGTGAATCCTGTTAATCATCTTTTCTGACATCTTTGTTAACTGCAAAAGGTAACCTAATTTTGGGATTATTACTGTATTATTTATATGGGTCAGTACACAGCAAAAAGGGGCTTCAAGCCAAATTTTTTTTTCATTGATATCGATATTTAATCATTTTTATGCAATACACTGTACTGTGGTAAAATTAGAAATTTATGTGTAACTCATAAGATACATACACCATTAATAATTACATTTTTAATGAAAATCCCGAAGACTGGATTTTATTAGTCTCAAGTTCTAAATGAGAAGTTTTCAAGACTTGCAATCTTAAACTTTAAAGATTTAATCGTAATTCTTATATAAACATTGTGTTAAAGTTTTAAAGCATTTAATATTATTTAAGTTTCGTAATGTAAATAATAAAATATAGTTAGTATTTTACTGGTTTACTTTGTGCTATGGTAATTATTAAAAACTAGACTATAATTTTTAAAGTTCTAAATTGTAATTAAATATCATGCTAAAGCTTTTAAAGTTTTTAATACCAATTAAAGTTTGTAATATAAATAATAATCACAGTTTATCATTTTGCTATTTTACTTTGCAAGATGGTAACTATTGAAAACTTTGATAAAAGTTTTTATGATAGTGATAATGAAAGTTATTTGGAACAAAATGATATAGATAATATTAGACCTACTTTTTCAGAATTGCAATTAGAAGAATTTGATGAAACAGATAATATAATTTGCCAAAATGTTCAAGAACTGTAGGAATTTTGGCAAAAAAAAGAATGTACCTGTCACAAAAGTAAAAATAAAATTAATACTTGTTTTGAAAGAATTGAATTCTGTCAATTTTTTAAAAGACAAGAAGAATGTCGTAATATGTCACATGATGATTTAGACATTTGGATTAAAGGTCAACTTGCATCATTTGCATATAGCGAGTTACCAAAACAAAAAAAAAAATTACAAGAATTAGATAATTTGCAATTCATGATCGTTTTAATTATCGATATCAGTATGATGCTCAACATATAGTATGTTTATCTACTTATTTAAAATTAATTGGAATTTCTTCATCCTGTCTTGATCAAATTAAGGCACATATTAAAAATTATGGAATGGCAAAACCTGTTCATGGTAATACTGGACGTTCTTCAATTTGATTAGATCATGCTATTATTAATGATCAAGTAAAACAAGAGCTTAATTACTATATTCATAAATATGCTAATTTTTATGGATTTCCTTCACCAGTTCGACATATGCGACATGATGCTATGTCTATTGTTTTGCTTCCAATAAATACAACATATAACAGTATTTATGAAAAATATATTAGTACAATTAAATTTATTAAAAGTGAAGATTATAAAGCTATGGCTTATACTACATTTCTTAAAATTTGGAAAGAAGTTGCACCTGATATACAATTTATGACCAAAGCATCCGATTTATGTGATACATGTGAACAGCTTTATGCTAAAATTCGGTATGCTAATAATCTTGAAAGTAAAAATAAATTTCAAGCAGAATATGATCTTCATCGAGCTGCTGCAGCACTTGAACGTCAACATTATAATGAAAGTATTAATATTAGTAAACAACCACGATTTGATACTATGCATATTTGTTATGACTAGGCTCAAAACATATCAATTCCCTACTTACCATGACAACCTGAGGGTTTGTTTTTTAAGTCTCCATTTAATGTTCATATATTTGGAGTTACGAATACAGGTTTAACACCTATGACACAACGAAATTATCTTATCGGTGAACATCAATTACCAAATAAAACATCAAAAGGGGCTAATATGACGCTTAGTCTTGTTTATAATAGTTTATTTTCTTGGAATTCGACTCAAAAAAACTTAAAAGTTACATGTGATAATTGTACTGGTCAAAACAAGAATAATCTTGCTCTTTGGTTTTACTCGTGGCTAACTATAATTAGACGTTTTGATTCAATTGAATTGAACTTTATGATTCCTGGACATACCAAGTTCATTTGTGATTCTTATTTTGGAGCAATTAAAACTCAATATCATAAATGTAATATTATGAGTATGGGTCATGTTGAGGATACTGTTAATCGATCAAAAAATGATGGAAGTAATATAGCGATAAGATATAACAAAGAAGGATGGAGTTATTATGATTTTGAGACGTTTTTAAGCCTCTATTTTGTTAAATGTGATGGCATACGGCAATTTCGTCATTTTTATTTTTATCATGACCAACCTGGAAAAGTTTTTATATCTTTGGAGTCTAATGGTTTAAAAGAAGAAGCAATAATTCGTAATAGTGTTTATTTTGACCCATACCAATATTTAAATATAATTCCTTTAAAACCTTTATCTTTAAAACGTCAAACACAACTATTTAAAGATATTCGACCATATATACACAATCTTACAAAAATAAACTGTGCTTTGCTCCAGGTAAATGTGATGAAAATTTATCGTAAATAGATTTTTTTTTAACTTTGCTGTAAATGCATATGCTATATACCGGTACATATAAATTCCTTTTTAGATTAATAATAAAAATAGATCTAAATATAGAGTAGAAGTATCATTTAAATAAAAATACTGCGTATAAAATTATAAAAAATTTTAATATTCTAATATTAATTAAGAAGTTTATTATAAATAATTTACATGGTTAGAAACATAGTATAATAAAAATCTCAATAACTGTTAGAATGTCTCTAAACCTCGTTTTGCTATGTACTGATCCATATATGCAATTTGGCTCATTGTCATTTTTTTATATCTGAGAGCTTTGACTGTTTAACTAACTATTCTCTTTGCTTTTTTGCAGACTAGTGATTCTCTCATTCTGCTGTTTAGCCAGATCCCTAATAATCTTACAATTTTGTTTTTTGGTTCTTCAATTATTCTATTCTGTTTAAATATAATTCTCTATCTTCTTTTCTCAGTCTAGAATTCATTACTATGAGCTTTGACTTTGCTTCATTTATTTCAATATCATTTGCTTTAAAGAACTTTTCTGCAATTTCAAGAATTCTTAGCATTTGGTCTTTGGTATTTGCGATTCATGTAGTATTATCTGCATAAGCAATTGCTGCTTGTCTGTGCTTTATGGTACAATTAATGTTTGTATTGCTTAATGTTTTTTGTTCTATAGTATAGTCTAACAATTCGTCTTCTTGAATTCTTTTCAATAGCAGATCATAGAAAAGCCACTATATTAGTAGGGAGATTACCTCTCCTTGGTCTATACCATCTCCTGCTGTTATTTCTTCTATTAGACTATAAGCTGTAATTATTTTCAGTTGTCATTTACAAAAGAGGTTAATAATGTATCTTATTGTTTTTTGTGGTATTTTGACTCTTTCAAGAGCCCACCTTAGGCTTTCTAGTAGAACTGAGTTAAATGCCTTTTTCATGTCTTGCAAAAGTATCCATGCTTCTTTATTTTTCTCTTGTGCTTCTTCTATTATCATATTTAGTATATGTATTGGTTGCTCTGTTGAGTTGCTAGACAAACCTGTGTAATTTGGACCTTTGAGTATTTGTCTCTCCATAAGTATCTTGACCAACTTTCTTGTTACCACCTTTGTATCTAACTTTCTAAAAGTCTCAATTAGTGCTATTGGTTTGATGTTGTTCAGATTATATTCCCAATCTGCATCTTTAGAAATCAAATAGACTTGTGCTATTTTCTACTTTTTTGGCATTTCACCTGTTTCTAGAACCAGGTTTGCAAAAGCTCTAAAAATCTTTTGTGATTCTACTTAATTAGAATGTAGCTTATGCCTGAGATTTCAGAGGCTGTATTGGTTTTAAGTTCGCTTATGGTATCTTCCTACTCCTCTTCTTTTATTTTTCCTTCTAACTTTTCATACCAAGATTCTTGAATCCAATCTCTTGGACTGTATATTTCTTTCCATTTCTCTAATATTTCTTCTAGCTTGGTTTTTCATTTTCTAAATTGGTTCTTAAAGTGCATTGTCAGACCATTTATGATGGCCTTGGGCTCTGATGTTAAACAGATTTCTTCTTCATTTTGAACTATGAATCTGTCAAGAATTATCAGTTTTAATCATCTCACATCTTTTGTTTATATTTTCTTCTATTTGTTTCCTTTGTGCTTATTTCTAGTCCTCTTTTCTTCTGTCTTTTACAATTCTTTGCCAACCTTTTATGTCCTCTAACCAAGCTTCTGACCATTGTTTGTGTAGTTTTGGCAATACTACTCCTATTTCTTTGCTAATGTCTTTGAGTCTATTGTTTATTTTTTTTCTTTCTTCATTTTTCATTATTTGGTTTCTTCTCATTTTTGCCTTTTTTATTATATGTTGTAGTTCAATTGTATGTCTGCAATGTTGTGACTTCTTGTGCTGATGTTTTCTATTTGCCTTTGTATTAAATATCTTCTTTTTAGGTATTTGTTTATTTGCTGCTTCTATTATAGCTTTTTCTATTGCATTCCACATATAATTCAGCATGTCCATCCTGTATATACTGTTTATTATGTCCTTTTCTAGTTGTTTCAGTACTTTTTTTCACTCTAGTTGTACTTGAAGCTTTTTAGCATATTCTTCCTAATCCTTTTGTTTTGCTTTCTCATATAGGTATATTGTTCTTATTTGGTCTTTGTGTTTGATTTCTGCACAACTATGTTTTGCAATCACATGCTCTACCTATATGTTCGTTGTTATTATCCTGTGGTTACTATCTGTTATGTTTTTTGCCTCTTCTATATTGGTTTTCTGTAGGTCAGCTGCAAGTATTTCTGATAATCAGATATAGTTGATTCTTGTTGCAGCTTCTTGACTTGACCATGTATATGCTTTCTCTATTGGGTGCAGGCTTCTAAAAGAGTCTATAAACTCTTGTCTTTTAAGCCAGTTAAAGATTGATAGTTTTTTATACTCTGATGTTTGTGAATTCAGTCTATCTAGTATATTATCAACTGTATGATTGAAGTCTTCTAGTATAACTATTTCTGTATTCTTTTTCCTGTTTGTTACTATTTCTACAATTTTTTGCTGTATCTTTTTAACTATTATTTTGTCATTTGGTAGAATATATACACCCACTACTATCAGTATCAATTGTTTGAAGTATAGCCTTACTTCTTCATATATTCATTAAATCTTTTAACTGCTCTAACATGTTTTTCCCAAGTTTCATCTATTAAGATCCTAATATCTGATCCTTTCTTTTTTTCCATTATCACACTTGCCTAGTAACCTTTGAGTCTTGTATTAAGATTGTGTAACAGAATTTTTCCTTCTTTTTCTATAATGTTTGTTTCTGTTATGCTCAGAATTGCTACTTTTTTTTTTTCTGCCCAGCCTAGCAGATTTTCTAATTTCCAACCTCTGGTCTTAAGTCTGTTAATATTATGACATGCAATTTTTATTTCTTTTCTTCCTCTTTTCTATTTTTCTTTTAAACTTTTGTATCTTGTCTCTGTGCTTTCTTTCTTCTCTTTTCTTTTCTTTTCTTCTTTTGGATTAGGAGATTTATTTTTATTTTTTCCTTCGAAAGTTCTTCTTTCATTGTACAAAAAGTTTTCAATCTTCTCATTCATATTTGTAAGTTCAACTGAGGTGCCCTTAGAAGTGATTAGCTAGGTCCTTCCTAGCTTTGTCTCTTGTTTCTTTTAGTCTTTCTAGTCTCTTTCACATTTGCTCTAAGATGTTCTCTATATGTAACTCTTTATTTTGTCTCTGTGTTTCGAATTCTTCTATTTCTTTTTCAAGATCATTTTTCTTTTCTTTTCTTGTATTTGTGTCTTTTGCTTGATTTCTTCTGTATCAATTTTGTGGTTTGCTTCTTTCTTTTAGCATAGTATCTTCATGACTTGCACTGTTTTTGTTCCTATTCTTGTACCAGTGAGCCTTGTTTCTTTGTCTTTCTCTGCTATATATATTCTCTTTTACATCTGAGGTTTGGCTAAATCTGATCTGACTTCTTCCTCTATCTATATTAAGACTTTCTTTTTCACATGTTTCTTTTTTCTCTTTGTTAATCCAATAAACTCTAAAGTTATTATACCAAATTGGTTTTATTTGAGCTGCAATCATGACTTTTTCTGTCACAAACATGACTATTGCTGTTTTTTTTTGATTTTCATTCATATTTGAAGGGATGTGAACTGACTTTACATCTTTGCTTCTTAGGCACCACAGTAATAAAACTTCTGAGGCATTTCTGGGTAATTCGGTAAGCTTTGCTATATATTTTTTTTGTTTTTCTTTTGCTTTATAGTTTTCTTCTCCTCTGGTTGCTCATACCAGTTTATCATTATTAACTGGTATAGTTCATGGAATGTCTTCTTCTTCAGCATCTTCTATCTGCATTATGGCCAGTACTTTGTACTTGAATCTTTTTATTTTTATAACTTGGGCATTTTTGAATCTTCTACAGATATATTCCAACTCTCTTCTATTGATGTCTGTTGGCAAGTCCTATATTGTTATATATGCTTTGTTATTGAACTGTTCATCCATCTTGTAGTTGTCTAAGTCTTCTTCAATCTTATTTTTCTTCTTGTTGTATATTCTTTCTTTATTTTTTGTCAAGCTGTTTCTTCTTTTTTGATATTCTTCATTGTGTAATCTTCATTTTTCTTTTTTGCCTTCTTGCTCTTCTGATATTAGTTTGTACCAATCTTCTTCTTTTCTGCTAATTCTTTGGATTGCCTCATTTTTACCATGTTCGCAGTTGAAGTCAATTTCTATCTACAAGTTTCCTCTTTTAAAGACTTCTTTAATGACTTTAACATGTTCATTATTTTTTAGCAACCATTTAATGAATTTTATATGTTTTTCTTTTGTTGTTCTTGGCACATTATGTGCTATATGTTGACAAGTAGGCTGTTATGTTGGTTGCAATTTCTTTTGCTTGGTGCCCAAATACTTTCTTTTAGTGGTTCTCCTACTATATCTATTTCTTTCTTGATTTCTAGTTTCATTTCAAATTGCATGTCTGTCTCTTTTGCTGTTATGTTATATTTTGATTCTTTTCAGTTTGCATCTGCACTCTTTTGCTCATGTTCTTCTTCTTCTGTATCTACTTCTATTAATGGCTCTTGTTCGATTTTTTGCATTATTTCTATTTTTGCTAGTTAAAGTTGCTCTATTGCTATGTTGTTTATTTTTTTTAGAGCAGATTCTATTATTACTGCATAGTTACTTTGTTCTATTATTCTTAGTTTTCTCTCTGGCTGCTTTTTCTCTGCTTTTTCTATTAGCTCTCTTGTTAATCTCAGTAATGCAACCTCATTTGGACTCTGTTCTGTTAGCATAATGACAATTCTGTCTTCTCTATCAGGTATAACATATATCTTACCTGCCTGTTTAAGGAATACCTCATTGTGTATGCTATTAATAGCCCAGTATGCCTTTTGATATATGTTGTCATTAAACTATTAGTATATCTTCCTAATGTATTCATATTTTCATCTTGAGTTGTATACATGTGCACTCTATTTGGTTTGCATGTGACTAGTTTGTTTACTTATTTATGTTCTCATAACCAAAACAGATCTGCGATACAGGATTAATACCAATTCTCCAAAATTTTGTTTTTTACATAGTTTCTTCAAGA